AAAACTACTCAATTACTACGGCGTCATGCAATGTCTTCAGGGCCGTTCAGAGCTCCGCGGGACGGCGTTTGGCCTTCTACCTGGACCCCTGCATTGGACCCGAAGTTTTCGTGGTGGTTGAGTTGGGTGCTTCAGAAAACAAAACTTCCCTCCTCGGCCTTGCCCCTCCTCCCCCCTCCCCCTCCCCCCGCCCATGCTGAGTGTTGTGAAGCGATAAAGTTGTGGGCTCGCGGTCTGAATCAGAGTAAGGTTACAGGGCCTTACGAAGGAATCGAATAACAAACTATGCGGGCTTCTTTTCATAGTCGGAGGCTAGGGTCGGGAGATGGTGCCCCAGATCTTCTGGAAGTGCCGGCAAGCGACGAACTCAATCACGCCGTTGTTGTTCAAGTCGTATCCTCGGGTGGTGCCATAGCCCTCCACTCCAAATTACCCTCAATCCTGGACCCTTCGTTTCACGCAAGCCCTAACCCGACTAGTTGTCTTCTGCAGCCTCAACATGACAGTCAAAGTAGATGCTGACCTCTGGACGCAAGAGACTCTGCACACGTTAAGAGACAGGGACCCACGAACAGAGTATAAGACATGTAAAGAATAGGGTTCTCAGGTATCTTATACTATAATTACAACCAGGAACTCCCACATAGTGTAGGTAATTGCACTTCTGCCTCAAACCGCAGAACCCTAAAACCATTTAAAACTGGAAACCCTAAACGTTAAACCCTAAACCCAAACCCCCAAACCCTAAACCCCAAAGCCATCCACAACCGACCCGAAAGCCACTCCAGCAAAAGTGAAGGCCAGGTCGCTGTCGAAGGACTTCTTGCATCCTGGGCAGCGGCTTGGGGTGGGCGGGGTTTGGCCTTTGGGGGTTTAGGGGTATAGGATTTAGCGTTTAGGGTTTAGGGGCTTGGGATTTAGGGCTTAGGGTTTATAGGGCTGCAGGGCTCAAGGTTGATAGTTTTAGGGCTTTACGGGTTTTAGAGTTGAGGGCTGTTTGTCTTCGAGCCGCGCTCTTTTGCCAGATGCCTCATACCTGGCAAACGAAATACCTGTGTTTATCAGACTTCGGGTCGCGTTTGCGGCCTTCTCGCACTTTAGGCTTCTGCCTTCGTTGAACTGATGGTGACCCCAAACCCCTCAACCTTGCACCCCGAAGCCCTAGACCCTAAACCCTACATAAACCCTAAACCCTCAACCTGTTTAAACCCTGAACCCTATATAAACCCTAAACCCTAAAGAACCCCTAAACTCTAAACTTCAGCCTAGACAGCAACAGCCGACCCTCGCTCAGTTTCAAATGCGGACCCAAGCCAAGATCGACTCTGAATAGCCTGATACCCCCGCGCAGACCGTGGCACGGCAGTACGGGCGTTTCGGGGGCACTTAGGGGGCTGTTCGGTGGAAGGCAGGCAGAATTCCAATCGAGGCGCAAGAAGCAAAGCAGCTAATGCAAGTCGCGCCATGCCAGGCACAGAACTTCCCGTCTGCCCTAACCTCTTTAAGGCCATCGTGGCGGTTTCTCTGACATGGCTGGTAGCATTGTCGGTGCTGATAGTACTTGTACGGCTCTGGAACGCGTCCGTCTTGTGTCTTGTAGCTGTACATGCTCTGAGCATCGCGATTACCAACTTCTTCATTACGGCAAATTCTCACCTACATCTCACCAAAGATATAAACCACACACCGCAGCATCTCCGTCTGAGATTTTCCACGCCCTGGCTAACTCATGACAATGTCTACCGCCGTACGGAACCTCTTGCACGGCCTGGCTTTGCAAGTTCGAGACTGAAAGTTCACGGCTCATACGGCTCTCTACACGCGACTGGCTGCCCCACTTTGACTTCGTAAGGACAGAGACAAACGACTGGGTGGCAACACATCTTGTAACGCTGCGGAGTATGATAACGATACTCGTGACTGCCGTGAAGTGTCACCACATCATGTGGTCGTACGTGACCTCGCCCACCGACGAGTGTGGCCCAAAAAGGGCTGCCACGATTCCTGGTGTTTGCAACAAGCCTGATGAAGCCCCACAAGCCAACTCTGAAGTGATATGCCTGAACGAAACTCTCGGAGCGATCTGTTTCACACGCGCTATCTGTGGGCGAGTTCGATGTCCGTGCTGAGCACGGGCATCTCTGCAAAGGACCTTCTGAAATGGCATTTAGCTAAACCTCGAATCCTGCGTGGCGGTAGCATTCCTGGCAGGTTTCATGGGACACATTGAAGCTGATCAGGTTTTTGCGGAATACACTGAGGGCTGCTTCGTAAACTATTTCATCGAGGTCGTCATGCCAGCCCATCAGTACCGAGGTGTCGAAGTCCGTGTCTGCGGATTTTCCATCAGAGCTTGGTCGCGTATCCACAAAATTACTAGCTTCGCAGATTCCCCCAAACATTTTGTGAAAGAGGCAGATTGACAAGTCCCACTCTTCAGTGATGCCAACGAAAGCAAAGCCTTCTCGTACCCTGCGAGCTGCCTCCTCCGCCTGGTCCCGAGTCGTGCTCGGACGGTTTGGATGCAGTGTTTGTGTTACCGGATACTCAGTCACAATCTGGTAGGCCATACCGCCCTTCCACGATTCGGCGAAGTCCAGCAAATTTCGCTTGGGCACGTCCGATCCAAAATATGTGCAGTTCTGGATTCGCAAGTCTTCCTGCAGGTAGTCGGCATAGTCTATGGCGGCTAAATTGTTGTCATCATCATGGTAGCCGGAAAGTATGCGCTGGTCAGGATCACGGAACATCGCCATCAGCTTCCCACGCTGCGCAGAGTAGTTGCTTATCGTAGGATGCTTCTCATAAATCGGATGCTCTGGGCATGCAAACGCGGCAGGGTCACAAGCATTGGGACAAACATCAGCATTCCATTTCATCAGCCAGCAGTCTCCGAGTAAGTCATGACCCAGGGTCCTGTTGCTCATGCCGCGGCAGACGCCCGGCAAATGGATCATTGAATTGATGAAGGAGCTGCCAGCCTTGGGAAAATGCAACCAAGACATTGGCTCTGCATGGTGCAGGCGTTCTTCGGGACTTTGGCTGTGCAGTTGGGACAGGACGAGCTTTTGCTGCAGAAGCGTAATGACCGCCCTCTCCTCCGGCGGCTCTGAGCGCTCGCCATGCCCGACACCAAGGCCCAAGAAAGAAAGAGTGAGTGAAAAATGGAGGAACTTTCCGCCGCACATGGTGTGGACCACCACGGCTGCTTAAAAACTGAAACGGTGATACGGTTCGGTCTTGAGCTTCTGGGCAGCAGAGACAGCGTGCACAGCAAGCGCTGCAACTTCCACCGCACCAAAATTCCAGGCTTATGTATCTGCACTCGGAAGCGGACAGCTAAATGAAGCAACCCTGCCAACATGGCAGAATCGTCTTTCCGAGGACCCTGAATCAGAGAAGCTGTTTATTCACAAACCCGAAAAGCCTGAAGTCCCGTTGAAACTCTTCTTAATCTTTTGTTGCTGAGGCTTGTAGTTCTTTGTGCCCGGCACATTGCATTGAATTGGGCATTGAGGCGAAGGGGGTTCCAAAAGGCCGGCTGCTGGTAGATGGGCGTCAGTTGCTAGCTCACGGGAACCTCGAGCTTGTCCTCGATGACGTGAGGCCAAATCCCCAAACTCCACAAAAAAACCCTGCTTGAAACAACGACTCTGAATGCAAGAACCCTGTTAGAGCCCTAGACCTTAACACTCCACTGTGTGTCGAAGGCGCCGCTTCGTTGCGGCAAGCCCAAACGTGCCGTGCCAAAGCGACACATGATGCCAAACTCCCAAACTCCAGCACTCTAAGCAGAAAAGGCCGTAACTGCACGCACATCCAGTGCTCGTCATGGGCACCACTCTACTCTATAATGAGGATGTGACAGTAAACATACACGGAAGCTTTTCGATGCCGCTGCTTCTGAAGGCGATGCGATACGTATCGCTACAAGTAGCACCGGCGGCAGCCACAAGCAAGAGTAGCTTGAATCAAAAGCAGAAGCCCCTAGACCTGCAGGCAGACTCGGATGACGACAACGACGAGGAGAACTCAAGGTCTCAGGCACTTAGCTTTGAGGCCGTGCGGCTTCAGATTCAGGGGCAAGCCAGGTCTTTAGCTGCAAAGGCAGCGGGAGAGGAGCCAAAGAGTACTCCTCCAAGTATCATAAGAAGCCTCTTTGCCAATGAAAACCGACACTTACTGCAAGAAAATAGAACATGGTTGGAGGGATGCCCATGTGTCAAACGACTGCCCGTCACGAGTCATAAGGCAAAGACCGATTGTGACTCCGACACCTTAAACTAACCCTAAGTGTTTTGCATGGCCTCGGTTGAGGGCTTCCCCCGGACGGTGGATGAAAGCATGGGTCGACATCGGTTCAGGGCATGTTGGACTGTTGGATCTTTATCTAGGGTTCATGTGCTTCTCGTGCCTCCGGGGTTTTTACGGGTTCAAAAGTATCGCGGCTTCGTGCGGCAGAAATTGGTCTGACATTTCGATGCAGGGGTCTTGCAGCGAATGTCAAAGTATGAGACTACAAGAAATAATATCCAAGCCATTTCCACGAAGGGAAGGGAAGCGTTCGATTGTGTTGAAGGGGTAAGTAAGGAACACCCATTCACGGATCATACCTTCCGAAGAGCCTACCACATGAGTAGCTTGAGAGCTTCCAAAACACGTGATGAATCCAGCTGCGGACAGACAACAGTTTCTCACATTCGCATCCGCAGGAACCGCATCAACGTCACTGCCGGCCATTTCTGATGCTCATAGCCTGCCCTCAAGGACACTGGTGATGGGACCCGTCTCTTTGAAGTTGCCGAAGCTCCCTACCAGATAGCTCTTTGCAGGTCGAGCCTTGAGCGGCCAGCTGGTCGAGCTCATGATCTGCGCGTAATCTTGTTCGCGTTCCAATACTGGTTGCGAATTGCAGGCTTCGCAGGTTTCAGGCGAGATGCCAATCCCTCCAAGCTTTCAAAGCCTGCCTGCTTACCCTCAGCAGTCACGAAAGTGGAAAGCTACGTTCGATTTCGGAGCATGGTCACTGAGAAGACCTGCTTGAAAGTCACGGCCAACAAGTCATTATGATCACAAACGAAGCCATGTCCTGCACCAGAGTGTCTGAGTGCATAGGCGCACACCCGGACTACGTCATCTGCTGACCATCAGCTAGGACAGAACGGCTGAACATTACGACGACATCTAATTCGACATGCAATTACTGCTGCTGCGACGAAGCGACGACTATCCCTCGTCGTATCATCAGCATCACCTTCGCGGTCGCCGTCGTTCCAGCTGCAGTTTCCGCCATCAGCATCACATCTGTTATCGATTCGAAACACATGCCTGTATCTGTTCTAGACAGAACCGCCACGTGCAGATGCATCTGACTAGGATCGGAGTCCTGCAGTCAATCCCGACTTGATCATTTCCGCTTCGTCGGTGTTGGAGCTGATGAGGATTACGTAAGCGTTTACCCGCTTGTCCTGGTCACGTGTCATGTGACACACTCCGCTCACAAGCAAACTATGATGGATCTCTCGCGGAATCGTATGAGCGGCCACTAGTACACGACGACTTCAGAGTGCACAAAACCGAAGTCTCAAAGCACAAAACAGTCTCCTGCATCAGGATCTTGTTCCAGGCAGCAGGCGAGATCCCATACCGCGCCAGGTCGGCATCGCTCACAACAAATACATAGTACTCATCCGCCGGCTTGCGCAGCACGTCCTGCACGCCAACAGTGTACTTTGGGGCGTCTTCGGGCCATAAGAAAGCCGCTTTATCTCGGAACCTTGATGGCGCGGTCGGTAGCTTCCAGGGTGTGATCTCCACTGTGAGAATATTGCCTATCAACAGTGTAGCGGAGGGATTTAAATAACCGGCACGTGGATCAGACGCTCCACAGAAGAAATGGGCTGTCCAAGCAAGCTGCTGCTATATGCAACATATGTCTGCGTGCAACACGGAGACTTCTGAAGCCACCGCTGGACCCATGAGCAGTCTCTGTCTATGAGTAGTATGCAAAGTTTGAGCTGCTAGCAAGGGGCGCATGGGCCGCCATCTGCTTCACGATGGCCAGCTGCTCCTTGCTCATGATGCGAGGGACAATGCATCACGGCATGACGCAGTGAGGGCCGTGGTCCTTCGCGCTCTTTGGGGGCTTCGCCCATGCGACGAGGCTTTCTGCTTCCGGGCCACTTCCGCTGTGTCCCACCATGGCATACCTGCTTTCATGCCCCTACTGTGTTAGGGCTGCTCTGGAGTAGGGTTCCCTTCAAACGAAGGAAGGAAGAACGCTCATGTGATGGCAACGTCCAAACGAAAGCCTGCTCACGAGAATGCAAAGCATGCAGATGCTTGGCGTCGATGCGAGCAGCCAGCTTTACTAGAACTATACAATGCCAGTATCAGCAAGGTGCTCGTATTTGTACTCGAAGCCAGCGAAACTCTCGAAGATAAATATGGAGGCTTCCATTAACCGTTGCAGTCGCTGATCGATGCGGTTGAAAGTATACATAGATCCTCGGCTGAAAAGAGCGAAAGCTGGTCAAGCTGAGTGGCAGCCCAAAAACTTTGCTCCACGGACAGTTTCATGAGCTAGTGTCAGGCCGTCATGAGTCACGATAGAAGAAACTGAAGCTTCTGAACTCTGCGCAGGCATAGATGATGATGCGGACTGTAATGTGATCACACTGCTGCTGCAGCTTCTGTTTAGACATTTCGCTTGCCGTACATTCCAGATTCCCGGCAGCCACGCCGTTTGGACTCACACCGTCCTGAACAATTCACAACAGCACAGTGCTGTACACCTGCGTCTTGGCGCCATTCCCAGTCCATCGCAATTTTACAAGATCTCCGCTAGCCAGCCTTTCAAGATGCCTCAACCAAGAGCAGAGGGCAGGGAGTCCTTTTGAAGCATTTGACCTTTCACACCGGTAAAACAAGATTCGCTTGCCCAAGGAGCCGCTGCAGTCCATGACGAATTTAATGCGCTTCGGCAGCACCTGCTCACCTCCTGTTTCTTCCGCCATCGCCCGGCGCCTGCCAAGGCTCAGGGTTGCGACTGAGATCAAGAGCACTGTTCAAAAACCGATGGCCTGTAGATGTTGCGAGCCCCTGCGATGCCGTCCACAAGGCGCATCTCGTCCAGTTCGCCCTGCTGCAAGCCCGGTGAGACATCAAGGTGACATGACCCTGGGTGCCAAACTTCAGGCCGATGCAGGAGAAGAAGGCCAAGCGCTTGTGTCATCTTTTATCAACAACATCGCTGCAGTACAGTGTTATTCACTGTACCATGTGGCGGGGCGTCTCGGTCCTTGGTGCGAGCATAAATCTGTCTTTTTGAGCACTTTCCGTGGAAGCCACTAGTTCGAGCTCGCACACGTTGAGGAGTCTGGAGCTGAGGAGATTTCCATTTTTATACCACAAACAAATCGTTTCTGCGCCTGGGTCTGCTGCTTCTGCCAACATCGCTCTCGCTCCTTCGCCTGCGTGGGTCGTTTGAAGGGTTAAGCATGCAACACGCAGGCTTGCGAGTTTCAATCACCTCACCGGCAGCAGCAGCAGCGGCAGCAGCTCACTACTCCATCACCTGCCTGCTATGCTGAGATGTGGCCGGCATCCCTCACTTATTTCTCTGGCTTTCGTGTGGCATGACCCTTCAACTAGTCCGATCCCCTCCGCGAGCTGAGAGAGTTCAATCTGGCTTCCATGCAATGCAGCTGTCTCCGGCAAGGTGCAGTTACAAGGAACAGAGCGCCGCCTCGTGGCTTTGGAGCACCAACCGGAATGCAGAGATTTGTGCCTCCACAGGCTGAAGCAAGCGACGGTACCTGAGGCTTCTGGCTTCTGCGGATCTCATCTGGGTTGAGGTCTAGCAGGATAGTCCAAGTAAGATACCGAGAAAGACTCCTCGGTTGTATATAATTGCATCTTTCAACCGGCTGCGGAATTCCAAAACTCAGTCGAATGTTCAATTCTTCATAATCATCGGGTCGCTCAGACTCATCGTGGGCGCTCATCTTCAACTCGCTCAACCGGTGTGCATATGCCTCATCTGCCATCTGCTGGGCCTGCAGACGAGCGTGTGGAATGTGCTGAGTATACAGCTTCTCGCTAAGCACCTTCCGAGAGCTCTCGATAAGTCACGATTCAGGTTTCAGGTGGGCGAAGGACGATGGCCTTCTTGTGCCATTCTTCTGAGACCTCTTTTTTCTGCTCCTCCGTGAGCATCACAAGCTCCTGCCCTACATCCAAGCGGTAGGGCCCGGCGCGGCCACCAATGCCAGCCTCACAAATGGACCAAAATGAGCAACCAGCTAGTTGTATATGATAGACTCCGCGGGGCTGGGAGATGTTGGGGGCCGTCGAGAATATCGATGGATCAATGTTGTCTGACAAGAAACCACCCCCTCAAACACAAAGCGCCTGACGAGCCCTTCAAAATGTTGCTCAGACCTATGACGTGTGAACAGTGGGGAATCCCGAAAACCTGCCATGGCTGTGGGGCTTGTGCAGAGCAGCAGTTCCAGTTCCACCAGAACCACCATCCCAGGGACCTTCACCAATGTGCCTCGTGAATTGGGGTCTGGGGTCCAAGGTCTCTGGGGGTTGGTTGGGTATATTACACACCGAAGACTGGTTTCAATGGCGCTTGGCACGTTAAAACGATGGCGTCAAATCTTGTGTACCACGCTGCCCAAAAATCCAAGGTGCTGTCGCCCGTCCCAGTTGCCGGCCCTGGGTGCATGCCTCTTTCCCGATTGGTCTGTCGCATCATCGTAGTCTCGAGTGCCAACATCGCCGGGATCGAAGCCGTCACCGTCATTCTCCTTGCTTGAAGAGGGTAACAAACGAGCTGCTTAGTTTCCATCTGCCAGAACGACTTCGTGGGCTGTTGATCCACAAGCAATTGAAAAGATATGTGAAGGACCAATGCTGTGCTGCCGTTACCGATGCAAACAAACGCCACTGCTCATTGATGGCTAGAACAAGCCGGCTTGAATATTTCGAAGGAGGGAGGGTCTGCGTTCCAATCAATGCGGGGGTTGGTCCGGGCTATGGACCGGCTTCATGGCTTCATGCTCATAGATTGCACCAAAACTACAACTTTGCAACTAGCCTCTGAACATTGAACAGCAACTTTCATGAGAGTTTCAAGCCTCCAGCCTCAACCCTTGTGCCACGCATCCCTCCAGCCCTCCGTCCCCAGGCCCCAACCCTTACGCCCAAGTATTCGGCCTTCTCAGACTCAAGGGCTTGAAGCAGGAATGATTTGAGCCCGTGATTGGTACAAGAAAATTAATCAAAGCAACCACCCCTAATGTCTTTCGGACCGACAGTGTTGTTCACGCTGTCGGGGGTAACACATAACTCCTGAACCCGGAGACTTAAACTCAGGCTCACTTGCTCCGATCTGCGGGACATGGGTCAGTCGTCGAGTCGTGGTGCTCTGGTGCATAAGTGTTTGTGAAGGAGAGAAAAAGAATACCATAATCACAGTCACCATCATCATCATCATCATCAGCAGCAGCATGGTGATGACAACACGGGGAGCAACGTCCATGGTCCCAGTCCAGTGCGTCCAACATGAAAGAGCACATGTGCTCACAGTGTTTCACGTTTCAAGTGCATCCGATGCACCAGAGCAAAAACACTCCCTGTGCACAGACACTCTTCCTGATAGCTAGGCAATCCCCACACACCTAGCCTGACCTAGCCTTAGCTTTGCAGCTTCACCTTCCTCTGCACAGCCGCGGCACAGCCAGCATGTTCGCCCTCTCTACTGGTTCTGCCTTCGCTGCCCGAGTTGCCTTCTGGCTTGACTTCGGAAGTCCATACGATTGTGGTGAAGTTTGCAAGCCTCTACCGTGTTACCCATCTGTGAACGTGTCGGGCCTGCCATCATCGTGGCAGCTCTTGGTTTCGGAGTCTACTTCGTGAGAGACAAGTTATCAAAGATGACAGAGATCGGGGTGTCTGGTTTGCAATTCTCGTGACAGTTGCTGTCCTGGGACCCTCACAGCTTTAGTGACGCATGGAAAATGGTTACATTCAATACTGCCGGGGGCGTCGGCGCAATCCTCATGGCAGTGGCAATTCCTGGACTTTCCTACCTTTGCTAAATGCGATACAATGACAGGAATAACAAGGATCGTTAGTTCCGTGGTTGCGCTGTCTCTGTCGTAAGTATTCGCTGCGATTGGGTTTGTTGGGGTCGTGATGATCGTAATAGTTGTCGTCCACCGAACCTTACATCTTCGCGTTTTGTGAAAGGTGGCAAGCAAACATGGTGACATGTCCTGTCATGTTCTCGTGTGCTCTGCCGCTTTCAACCCTCTGTCCGACATCGCGCCGTGTCTCATGTTCTTCTCGCATCGCATTTTCCTGACCCATCTTATTGTTGCGGTTCGTGTGTTCTGCGTCATGGTCTCGTGTTTCCATCGTGTGCTCGTGCTGCGGCTCGCTGGTATCTCTCTCACGTTTCAACCATCCTCCGATTGGTGTCGTGCCTATGGCTCGTAGCACTTATTTGTCTGTGGTAGGTGCAGCAGTGCGAAACTTCCGAAACGCTCACTGCTGGTATCCCTGCTCTCTTCTGCTGTTCAGCCTTCCTTCACAAAAAACTGCAGTGGACACGAAAAAACAAGCGTCGGCGTTCTCTCCAGAGTCATAGTGCTTTGCAGACTTGAAATCCTCACGGATGCCAGCAGAAGCATTCACGGGTTGCAAGCTAATGGGTGGGTCAAACGTTCTGGAGCCACATTTCAGGAAGAATGCTCCGTAGGTAGACTGGTAGGCCAGGCCCAAGTGCCATTCAATAATGCTACACGCAAACGCTACAAAAAGGTGTGGACATGGGGAAGCTTCGGGAATCAGGCTTGATCATGCTGCAATACCTAGTCTCTACTCCTACACGATTTTGACATGCATGTGGAATGTGCTGGGCTTGCTACATGAATCTGCAATGCATCGCAACATCGCACTTCATGTCGTACTCGCGCCGAAGCGACCTAATCTTCGAGAAAGAAAGACCCTCAGTTCCTTCGGCAAACGTCTGTTGGGGTTGCCGTGCTTTGCCGGCTTGGAGGTTGGGTCGAAGCTGAATCCACAGCCATTCCTTGGCTCAGGAGCTTTGGAAATCTACTGCATGGACATGCATCTGTTTGATCGCGTGCCGAAGTGGTTGCCATGATCCGGGTCCTGTCCCGACAACGCGAAGTCTTGCGCGTGGTGCATGCTTCGAAAACCAACTCAAAAGCCACCAGTAGGCTACGTGCTGCCACTGCGCAGCCAAGATTCAACACTCCCGAAAGAGTCTCCCGCAACTTCAAGTCGTGCCAGTCAAATTCGAAGACATCCCCAAACACCTCCTCAATTGGGTCATCTGGGAAGCTCTCCTCAGACGGATGGTCAACCGCCCTGAGACACTTGCAAGCTGTTGTTGTAGTGCGGTTTGGTTGATGTTTGCCTGCCCGTCATCTATGTTCATTGCTGATGTTTGCGATTGAATACATACCTGGAGGTGCCATGATACATCATGATGCCTTGCTATGTCGGCCGCACCCTTGAACGACAGCAACTAACAGCCACGAGTGCGTATGCTGTGAAAGGCTTGCACGACTTGTGTCAGCACGTGCCACAAACAACCCAACAGACCATCATCAGCTCCGCTAGAGACGAAGGACGAGTGCCGATCTCGATCTTAGAGCTCTCGTGTAGTTATTCTAGCGTGCATGGCCTTTTCTGCTGGACATCCATCAGATCAGTATGTGTTCGTCCAGGCTTCGCTTGCTACGACTAGTGCGAGCTTGTCTGAATGTCTAGTGCCGGGCATTAGGCTGCTTTTTATTACGAACTTAGAACGGGCTAAATGCTTCGAGCCTCAAGATGTCGCACGATGCGAACCAGCTCGCGGGTTGAGTACGGATAAGAAAGCACGCCTTCCTGCAAACAGAACAGCAACGAACTTTGCTAGGAGCTGAGACAATGCTAAAGTGTATTCGTTGGAGCAGGAGAATAGTAGTGGTGGTCGCAGTCGTCGTCGTCGTCGTCGTAGTCGCTGTCGTTGTAGTGGTAGTAGTGGCGGCGGTGGTGCAGGAGCATAGCTATAGCTGCTTACTTATAGCTGGCGGTAGTGGACGGGGTGGTGGTAGGACTAGCGGCCAGTGGTGATGCAAGGAGCCATGCAACAAGAACCATCATAGGGGAGGAGGAGAACACTCCTTCTATCTCGGCTTGCGCAGCAAGTCCACTTCAATCAGATGACAGAAACCTGGTCCCTATGGGTTCCCGAACCTGAAACTTGAGAACAGCTCAGCTGCCCAATCCGATCATTCACCAGAAGGCAACAAAGACAAGGAAATTATTGCAGGATGTATCATCAGCCGGAAAGCCAGTATTCTGTTGTTCTCCCTCTCCTCCACCAAGTGCCTCAACTCGGCAAAAAGCCCCAGCAAGCGGACGAGATGCTCCTTCGGATGCTGCCGACATAAAGACATCGCAGGATAACCGAATAGCCATCCAGAGTGGTAAGCATCATAGCAATGCGGAGGTTCCCTTTCAAGAGCTGTCTTTCTTGTCAAACTCGCCGGCCAAATGATTCAAACAACCAGTTTGATTTCCAAGTTCACAAGAAGATGAATCTTCACAAGCTGAGCTACTAAGCTGAAAACTGAGCCTCACGTATTCTGGGAGGACGCGTGGCACGATGCCAGGTTAGTTCGTAGAGAAGCCGCGAAATGGATGCGCCCCCCCCCCCCTGGTTGGACGGTGCTGGGCTTTGCAAGCCCTGCGAAACAAATGACAAAGCCAAAGCTCTTTCAACACTGCTGAGTGCAACAAGCCCTGCGGAACGGCAAACTCGATTAACCGAGATCTTGGCCCAAAGCCGAGCGGCCGGGGACGTAGTCAAGGAGGGCTTGACCCAATTGTTTCAATGCTATTCGAGGGTTCAAGATCTCGTAAACCGGGACACGATCTCGACAATCCAACGTAGATTTCCGAAAAGCTCTGGAAGACACCCTTCGATACTCCCCCCTCGCGGCTAGCAGCATAGCAACGTCATGAGTCCTGCCCAAACACTAAAACGGACTGTGGACATGGGCGAGTCATGCAGGACGTTGTTAAACGACCTGCCTGCGGTACTGAAGGCCCGTAGCTCCGAAGGAGTTCGACTTCAGAGGTGATGTCTGGATTCTCGACAGCATGCGTGGCGAACACGTCCCCGCACTCTCGATAGAAATCGTTGCCCAAGAAGGGGTAGCCCGGTCTGTTGGCCAGGACAATCATGCGGAAGCCCGGTGAGATGGGGAGGAGGTGCTGCTCTTGTAGCTGCGAGGGCGGTTCAGGAATGCGCTCCCGCGCCATAATCGTCCTCCCGTCTCCGAGCGTGAACTCGCCATCTTCTGCAAGGCTTTTGAGTATGCAAACAACTTCTAGAGGGGCCTTGTCTGCCTCGTCAATGACCAACACTCGCCCGTGCCGCACTGCAGACACTAGGGGTGAATCTTGGTACTCGACGACACCGTTCTGGAGAATCGGCTGTGTTGTCAAAGATTGAACCGTTGTGTCGCGGTGCAGCTGCAAGTATTCCCTTTCCAGCCGGAGCATGCTCAGAAAACGATCTGCCAGCTTGTTCTTGCCAACTCCCTGGTTTCCAATCAGCAGCAAGTGCCTCTGAAGAAGCCAATCAATAAGCATGGTGCGCAGCACTGTCAGATGATGAGGGATGTCTACCTTGGGACGTGCTCCTAGCAGTCTGAACTCTAGCCGTGACATGTCATGTGAACAAGACACTTCGTGGCCGGTAAACATGCTTCCAACAGCAAAACACGAAACCCGACGAAAGTAAAAAAGCTGTCGTCCATCTGTTACGAGGTGCGAAAACGGTGGAAGGCACCAGCTCGGGTCTTTGAGGTTGGCCTTTTGGGATCACGCATACATGCCAGAGATCTAGTTCATCCCAAGATATTCAAAGGCTCGCACAAATCATCTACTGAACAACTTAAACAACATCAACGTTCTAGCCACTATTTCAATGCCCCTCACCTCTTGTGCAGGAAACGCCGCCCAGTCGTACCTCCTCCTCATGCATTTCCAGTGCCAAGCGCTGGCTCCGTGCTGTGCGGAGGCCATCCCGTGCCAGACGCATCACCTACTGAAGGGGTCAGTATGATTGAAGACGATGCAGTCTCGGAGCCTTCATTGCACCTGACACTTAGGTACTCTATACTACTTTAGATTATTCAACAACTGGTGTTTGCATGCACGCCTCGGCCCGTTGCTTGTGTCGGTTTGCGACGGCCTCGTCATGCAACTTGTTGGTTTCATCCTGGATGAATTGCTCTGCCCTTCGGTCGGGCATGAAGCGCAAGCCGATGGCCGGCTCCTTCAACATGTGTTCAAAACTTCGTTGGCAAGTCAGTCTCGTGAATAGCAAAGCCCTCTACTCTACCCCGGCTTTGATTTCGTTTGCAAGAGCATCCCTCCATATTTGAAGAGCCAGTTCGGGAAAATCACCCTGTCCTCGAGTGCCTTGAGGCGTTCGCCACGTTCCTCCGCCAACTGCGCCTTACGCTTCCCTTCTCTGATCTCCTGCGAGGAGCGCAGGTTTCGAGATCGTCGAGATGAGATTGAATGCCGAAGGGTAAAGTGCTGGACAAGACCCGGATTCGGTTTCTCCTGACCTGGTTGTAAGGTTTGAGTGTGTGTGAGGCCCCCAAGCTACAGCTACAACGGGTTAATCTCAGCCGTCGCTTCTTTTGATATTGTCTCAAACCATCCGCTGACAGGAGATTGGAGAAGGCTGTCACCAACGAAGAGCTAGCTGTCTGCTTTCCTGTGATACCGACTTGGCATCTGCCTGCAGCCTGTGACATGCTTCATCGTGCATCATATAACATCGTCGCTGTGCATTGCTTTGACCAAGTGAAGTAAAGAAACAAATGCCAGGTGATCCTTGGTTTCATTTCTTGTAAAACAGCAGCAAGGCAACCGAGCCTGTTGAAACACTTCCCACCAAAACTTCAATACTTATTGAGTCTCAAATGAGATTTGAATGAATATGACACACATGAGATCGATGTTCCATGGAAGCCTGGTGTTCGAGCGCACGGGGCCCCAGGAAAACGTACCTGCTTGGTCTGCGCCTGGGCCCCGTCGTGGGCAGCTGGTGGGACCCTCATTCTCGTTTTCACCTTCATCTCATCTCGTGCTGTGTGATTCCGTTGTGTTTCACGGCGAGGGCAGGACCCGCACCCTCGCGGATTACATCATCTTGTTTTGTATGACAGTCTTTTGTGTGTGGGCGGGGGCTTTGCCTAGTGACTCACCCGCAAGGTGTGGTTGTACTGTGGCAAACAGAGCTAAGTACCGATTCGAAAGGCAAGAACCAACTACGACGTACCCGGGTCATTTCGCATCTGAGCACATGCCATGCTTGGCGTGACCGCTTGCGAAATTTAGCGAGCCTCAAATTACACACACCTTCGTCCTTCGAGATGACATGACGCCATCCCAAAATTCGAATCTGGACCCTGGTGGAGAAGGCTGGATGGACACACCGCCAGCGGCAAAAGCTTGAAAGCCTGAAGATTTGTTTCGCATGCTCTGTGTTGCCAGGTTCATGGCGTGTACAAGTATGGGTCGTATAATCTTCGAAGCTACCGGTTTACCAAGAGGTGGGCAGACGAGCAAAGTGGCAGCTTCCGCTTGCGCGGAGCTGGGTACCGATGAAAGAACGTGGCGCAACCAATATACGAAGAGACATGCCGAAGGCTTTTTCGCGCCGGGTTGGTGCGAAGACGTTGTGCATTTGCGGCAATGCCTTTGCCATGCTCTTAAATTCATATACCGGATTGCCTTGGAGATTGAAGTCGCAAGTATCTCTGTCTCATGGCTTGCATTGTGCATTGTGATAGCAAGTCTTTGGGTGTGAATTGCAAGCAAGTTCACCCCATTCCTTCATGGGCTGCCCCAGGTAGTATTTGAAAGGTCTGTTGCTAGAAACGTTTTTCGCGGCGGACGCAGATGAACGCACGCGAAGCCTCGCAAAGCCTTGTTAAGCTTGCCATGGGACTTGTCCAAGGCGGGGTGGTCCCTCCCGCCGCAACGTGCATGGTTGCTTGCACTGCATTGGCAATTCCAAAAGTTCCGAATGATAGGCTTGGTCCTTGCACGCCACGTCCAGCCGTTGGCTCCTGTTGATGATCGGACTGGTGATGCTTGTGTGGAGAGGACATTGTGGACGGTCGATGACGGTAGGACAAGCGGGCGTGCTCCGGGGCTGACACCAGTTTCTCTCCACTGCCGCCGATGCCGAGGGATGCACAACAAGATGAGTAGCGGCAGTATCAACGTTCCCATGGCTACAGTGGTTATGATTATGGCCGGAAAGCCGAGCTTAATGGTTTGCAACAGTGGATGCTCCAAGCTCTTGCTGCTATCACCCCACCCGTCCATGCTGACCAAGTGCCGACGGCAAATACCGTGCAAACCAATCTTTCTCCAAAGTTACGTCGCCTCCTTGAAGCAAGCTGATGACCTTTTTGTTGACAGCAAATCCGCACAGCACCGCTGATGCCATGCGCAACGGGCCTTTTTGCACACACCAGGAGCCACGCTGCTGCGGAACGCTCTAAGTTTCACGATTAAACTCTGACCGGCACTCAGCGGAGAGACTTTCAGATCGAACCACCTACGCAACTTTCACACTGCTAATAATCTCTTTTTGATCTGAAAGTCTTCGCTTAGCGGCCTCCTCTTTAAAAACCACTCCGCACCCAAGCTGCTCTCTAATTTCTTTGGATCTACCACCCTTAGTCAAACCATCAGCGATCTGATGCCGAGTAGGAACCCAGAGCAACTTAGCTTTACATGGTGCGCCACGTGTGGACAGCATCTGACGAAGAAGCACTGCATGGATAACACTAGACTTGTCGGAGATGTGCTGCCCGTCCTTGTGAACCGTATCATAAATAGACTTACAATCAGTCACCAAAAACATAGGAACAAGATCATTCCAACCGTCATCATCCACACTACCTATCACCTGTGACCCGAAACGAAGTTCACTCATCAAGACTTGACAGAAGTGTCGCATGCCGAGTGCCATCAGCGCAGCGTGAGTTTCTCCAGCGAAGCTTGACTCTATGACACGCTTGTTCGTGCTGCTTCTCCAATCTATGACATTGATGTGATTAGCACGACCCTTGATGTCGGTAGAGCCTTGCTTGACAAAACCAACAACCGCACCTTTCTGTGAGTAAATGAGACGCTTGTCCTTTTGTGAAAGCACGATGTCCTCGCACTC